TAGCCATATAAGGCAAAAATTTAATATCTAATAAAGATACGAGGCAAGACCTCACCTTAATACCGAAAAAAAAAAAATTTTAATATTCTTACTACTATTAGATAAATCTTGATGAGCTTTACAACTTTTGTTACAAGCTCAAGAGTGATTTACTTAGTAAAAAAAAAATTTAGATAAAAGCGCTATACATTTGAGCTTATAGTAAAATTTATATATAAAAAAAAAAAATTTGTTTAGGTGACTCATGATTTGCCTATTAATATATCTTTTTATATTTTTATTTTTTGTTTTTTATATAATTTCCTTTTCTTTTTACTTTTTTACAAGAAGATATTAAATTAGCAATAGTCTATTGTATAGCAATAGTTAAATAAGCTCTTTGAGTTGGTAATTAGCCAAATAGCTAGTTATTTGTAAGTGCTTATAGAAATAATTACAAAATATTAGATTTAGATATTAAGCTTAATAATTTGTAATACTGTATAAATTAATCTTAATAAAAAATTATTAACAAAGCTATCAAAATAAAAAAATTGTTTATATTTCATTAACTTTTCTAAATATAGTTTACTAAAACTTAAAAAATTTTTTTAAGTAAAAAAAATCCTAAACCTATATTTAGAAATTATATATTGATTATAGTTGTATAGTATAAGAAGCCTAGAATCAACATCACATAACTTTAAAAGATTATAAAAAATAAACATTATAATAACTAGTTATATTAATATTATAACAGAAAAATTCTTTTAAGATTAATTATTTAATTAATGATCCACAAGTAAATAAAAACTTAATACTGGAAGAATTTTTATAATAAAATATAGTAAAAAAATATTAAGTCAAAATTATGATTCCTATAGTATTATAAAACTTTTAAACTTAAATTGCTTAGGGATGTGACAAAAATCAGGTGATTTTTTAGAGGAGAAGGGGGTAAAAAAATTAAAATTATATAAGAACCTGATTTTTTTTTATATTAAGAGGGGGAGAGTAAACCTCTAATAAAAAATAATTAGGTAATAAATGATACTGCCCTTATAACTTTTTATTTATTTAACTAATTTTACCAATCTTACTATCATTAAAATCATAAAAGCTAATTCTACAACTTTTATTAGAAATTTACAAAATATTAACTTAATAAAAAATTGACTTTATTTAGTTAAGAATGCTGATTTTGATATTTTATATATGTTGCTATAGATTTTATTAATACAAATTCTCATTTATTTGTGGATCATCAATTAAAGCTAATATTATATTATTATAAAAAGATTTTTTTATCTACAAATTTGAATCTTAAATTAAATACATCTATTAAAAATATTCTTTTTTTATTTTTGTTAATTAAATAGAATGAATAAAATAAAAGTAGTGAGAAAAATTATATATACTAGTAAATATATAATAAACTTAAATCATTTATATAATATATTAAATAATTATATTCACTAACTATAAGATAATATAATATTAATATCAATAAACTTGTATATTATTTTAAATACTGATGAGTTATATGATAAGTTATAGGGGGTACCGATACGCATGTACTGTACGTACGTACGTAATACGATTTTGTTTTCAATATCGATATGAATCCAAGACTTTTCAAAGAACATTACGTAATATTTGTATCTGCACTTAGAATTAATTCCGTACGTATAATGATTTAATATATTATTAGTTTTAATAATGCATAACGTATTTTTTACAGACTTATTTATTAACGTTAATATAGAAAGCGTAAGAAACTTGTTAATTATTTAATTATTGATGAATGCCTATTTTTATGACTTATAACGTACGTAGATTGTTGTTGAATTTTTATTAACATTATTGTTTTTATGCTATAACATGTAAAAACGAAGTATTTATAGGTGAAATATGTTGAAATGTTGAGATTATTTGCCCTTTTTTAATATGATTTTAAGGAAAATTTCAGATTTGCCATGAGAAAATAAAATAAAATAAATCTAATGTTCTTTTTTTTACATGAATGTCTTAAGAAAAAAAAAAGCAAACTCATCGTTTGCAACTATACAAAAAAAAAGAAATAGGAAAGCAAAAAAAAAAAATATTACAAGAGAAAACTTTGTACAAAGGATTAAGAGTGAGGTTGTTTGTTTTTTTTATAAAAAATTAGCCTTTCGAATTTGCACTTCGTTGGTGCAAAGCGACGCGCGTCGGGATTACGGATGTGAGAAAGTCACTCAGATAAATAAAAAATTATCGACAAAAGAAAATTAAGGAAGCGCGTTGAGATTACGAAGATGTCGAAATTATCGACAAAATAAAACGAATTGCGAGGTGTAAAACATGATAGAATACATGTTTTTTTTTTTTTACGAAATTATACAACCCCTATCAAACCACCATTGTTCCTTTAATTGGTCGATCCAATGAACAATCATCTTCATTCTTTCTCTAACGGATCTTTCTTCCAACAATCTATATTTTTCACTTTCATCGATGGGAATTACCGAAGCGACCCAAAAAGAAAAATCGGAAGGATCACTAGGCATATCACCATACGTCGAGTTTAAACGTTGTAATAGCCACGGAGCATAACCATTTCTCAAAGATTCAATAAACTCACGAGCACTGCTAATAAGTTCAGAAATTGTAGGTTCATACATTATAGGATTAGAAGGATCTCTATTATTAATCTCAGCGGCTCTTACAGCAGCTCTTTCTCTAGCCAACTCTTCTTCAGGAGTGATATCATCTATCCGTTCAATTTTTCCAACGTCATAACCATCTCTAATACCTCGTTCAACAACTCTAAATCTAAAAGTACCAATAGTTTCTACTAATGAACGACCATCGTTTAAAAATTCGGTAGAACGAATTTCCAACATAGTTCCATATTCTACATAACTATCACCACGTTTTAGAACCATGCCAAATTGTCTTTGACGAGATTCTAAACATCTCCTAATCATCAATCTATATTTTGGTTCGAAAATGTGAAGAAAGCAAGGCATTTTTGGGAATACTAGAGAAGTAACAAATATAGGAGTATCTTGAGTATCATCATAAAGTTCATTACGAGCCGATTGTCTACGATCGGCAAGTAGAGAAGGATATAATTGAGATATAAAAATATTAACGGTCTTATTAATTGGTTGGTTTAGAACCGAGTTATAGTTATGAAGTTGATATCTACATAATGGACATCTATCACTATGATCCAAAGAACGAGTCAAACAAGATTTACAATAAGTATGACCACAAGGAGTAGTTATAGGATCCATAAAAAGTTGATAACAAACTTGACATTCTAATTCTTTTAATAAAAGTTCTTTAAGATGAGATAAGTCGAAAGGATGAGATAAATCATCGTCATCATCATCATCATCCAAATATTCACTCATACAGTCATCGTTGCTATTATAACCATCACTAGTAAAGTCATCGACAATATTAGAATCCGATAGAGAAAAAGAAGGAACATTTTCACGGGAAGAGCAATCATCATCGTCAACAATATCATATAAATGATTTAGTCGATATTGTAATTGTCGTCGTGGTTGAGAAACATGTGGAATGAGATCAGTTAATTCTCTACGACATATTTCAGTTAATTTTGATACAGATACATCAGTTCTTATATCTATTCCATGAAGACGATTACATCCTGTTACAGGACATTCAAGTCTCTTATTTGTAGAAGTTGATAAACATCTACTACAAAAAGTATTTCCACAAGGAAGGGTAACAGGGTCACTAAAGAGGCATCCACATGACGGACAACTAAGTAGTCGAAGAATCATGTAAGCATCTACTTCTGGGTCATAATCATGTTCCGCAGAAAATGAAGGTGATGAATATTGCTCGTCATCAACAGAATTTAACAAGTTCATGATATTCATTTCTAGTTTAAAAGAATTGATATAAAAAAGTGTATAAAAAAGAGAGTTTCCAGATCGATTATTATTTAAAAAAAAATGTTGATTGTAATTAATAGTAATTTGATAGTAATTTGATAGTAATTTGATAGTAATTTGATAGTAATTTGATAGTAATTTGATAGTAATTTGATAGTAATTTG